GCCGCGATCGCGGCGGCAGTTCAGTGGCAGGACCTTCGCTCCCAGAGGGGGGGAGGGCCCTGCCGCCCCCGAATTGCTGCAGGTGCCGCCCCTCTCCCTTGGCCGCCCCAAACACCTGCTTGTTAAGCTGGTGCCTGGAGCCAGCCCTGGTGATAGCACAACAGCTTACAAGGATCACGACTGTTGTTTTTTTTAAATAAAGATACTAAATTCTTCTGCTTCCCTTCCAAATTCAACCTTTATGCATTCCCCCCATACCGATTCCCAGCGCTAGTTCCAATGTGCATATACTCCTCCCTCCCAGCAATCCCACCTGCCATTCAGCCCTCTTCCCTCCATGTATGTGAGCAGTTCATTAATGAGATAAATCAGTGATTTAGAGAAGCAGATGATTTACTATCCCAAGCAGAGCTTTCTCTAACCCAATAAAGAAAAAGAGCCAGAGACTCCATGAAACCCAGTAAGGACTTCACTGTTGTCTCTCTCTTTCACATGGAAGATGGGGGAGAGAGAGATTGAGTCAGCTAGCTTCTTTCTTTGTAGGCACTGCAGAAGTAGTGGGTCTTCAAGCGTACTAGAAATGAGAAGATAATGGCCTTGTGGACCAGCTCAGAGAGGGCGTTTGTGCTTTGTGGAGAGGGTGGTATGGAAGAAAGCACAGAGATGTATGTGAGGGGGCAGACATTCCAAGAGGTGGTGGTACTGAGGCAGTGGTGAAAGTAGAATTCATTTCATACCAGTACACTGCACCAGCTAAAAGGGGGAGGCACGTGACCTCCTCATGTGACTCTGCCCCACCACCAGCCCAGGCCCTGTGCTCTCCCCCTCCCCTCCCCTCCCCATGATCCATCCCATGTTACCTGGTGGGGGGAGAGGGGGCTCTGTCCTCCTCCCACTTCGCCGGAGACTTCTCAACCACAGGGCTCTCTGGAACCGCAGTGGCAAAAGAAGCAGACAGTGGCCCCACACCGGCAGCTCCTCCGCCACGGCTGTACGAGCCCCACCCCCAGCCCTGCCCTCCGGTGGGGCTCCTGTACAGACCCTAGACAGGAGACACAGGCACACAGCTGCATGGAAGGGCTGGGGGTGGTACAGCCATGCTGGAGGAGCTGCTGGCGGCCCCACGTTCTGCTCCTCCTATGTCTTTCCAGTACGCCATGCAGGCTATAAATAGCTTACTGGTACGGCGGACCGGACTGGACCGTCCCACTTGCACCACTGTGCTGAGGTCAGATGATCCGAGTGGCTGTGTTTTGGTATGGGCTGGAAGGGTACAATGTGGGTGTCAGGCTGGCCAGGGAGAAGGAGGTTACAGTGACCCAGAGAGGCAATGATGAAGGCCTGGACAAGAATTTTAGCTGGGTGGACAGAGAGAAAAGGTTAGATCTTAGAAATCTGTGGGACCCTGCCTGGATGTGTTGGCTGAGAGAGAGGGAAGTGATGAAATAATGACAACACCTTGCACTTCCCTTGTCACTTTCATCTGAGGCCCTCAAAGTGCTTAACAAACACTAATGAAGCTTCACAATGTTCCTGTGAGATAGGTGCTATTAGCTCCATTTTTGGCTGAGCTTGCGAGGCCCTACACTGAACTTGTCTGACTGTCTGTCTGGCTATAATATGACCATTTTGAATACTGAATCCAATCGCTTCCCAAGTGTCAGGAAGGTTCTAGGGAGAGAAGGTGGGTGAGGTAATATCTGTTATTGGACCAACTTCTCACCTTGGCTCTCTAATATCCTGGAACCAACCTGGCTACAATATTGTATAAAACAGGGCATGTTCAAGGCATCCACAGCCAGATTTTGTTGAAAATCAGAAAAACCAAAAGCAACGGAGGAGGCACAGAGCCCCTGGCATCTGGTTAGCAGAGCTACTTCTTCAGCCACTTCTGTGTTAGCTGATGGCAGCCATTAACCCCTTCCAGCATAACAATACCCCTCCTCTCAGCTCTGCCCATCACCCCAATACTGTGTAAAAATGCTGATACCCTGAAAGAGAAAGAAAGAAAGAAGAAGGTCTACACTGACACGTATATCGGGATAACTTATGCTGTTTAGGGGTGTGGAAAAAACATCCCCCTGAGTGATGTAAGTTACACCCACATAAGCCCCAGTGTGGACAGCGCTATATCGGCAGGAGAGCTTCTCCCACCAACAAAGCTGCTGCCGCTTGCTGGGGGTGGAGTAATTATGTCAATGGGAGAGCGCTCTCCCGCCAGCATAGAGCGGCTACACAGGAGATCTTACAGCGGCACAGCTGCATTGGTACGACTTTGCCACTGTAAGCTCTAGTGTAGACATGGCTGGTAGGGACCTTAGACCTTAGTCCAGGGGTCAGCAACCTTTCAGAAGTGGTGTGCCGAGTCTTCATTTATTCACTCTAATTTAAGGTTTTGCGTGCCGGTAATACATTTTAACGTTTTTAGAAGGTCTCTTTCTATAAGTCTATAATATATAACTAAACTATTGTTGTATGTAAAGTAAGTAAGGTTTTTAAAATGTTTAAGAAACTTCATTTAAATTTAAATTAAAATGCAGAGTCCCCCGGACCGATGGGCAGGACCCAGGTAGTGTGAGTGCCACTGAAAATCAGCTTGCGTGCCACCTTCAGCATGCGTGCCACCGGTTGCCTACCCCTGCCTTAGTCCATCCCGTGCTTTGCTGCACATTAGGCTACCCACATTTACCATCCTTTGCCTCTCAATTGCCCTTCTCTCCAAATCTTCCCATTTCATGTTGAGGTGCTTGATGTCATTCAGAACTGTTCATTTCCATGTTATTCGCGGTCTTCCTCTCTTTCTTCTTGAGTTTTCTGGCTTCCATTCAAGGGCGGTATTTGGTAAGTGTTCTTTTTCCATTCTCAGCACATGTCCGAGCCACTGATGTCTTCTTTTGTAGATTATTTGTGAGAGGGGGCTTTGTCCAGTCATTCTTCTGACTTCTTCATTCATCTTCCTATCTCTATATGTTATTCCCAATATTCCTCTCAGACATTAGTGATGAAATGCATCCAGCTTTTGTATATCTTTCTTGGTAAGTTGCCAGGTCTCACTGCTATATGTTGTGATGGCAATAACAATTGCTTTGTACACGTTCAGTGTAGGGACTCTCCCTACCAGCCACATTCAAAAAACTGAATGTGGCTGGTAGGGAGAGTCCCTGCAATAGAGGGGGATTGGAGGGTGGCACAGGGAGTCTGTGGGGGGAATGGACGGATACAAGGAGTCACTGGGGTGCAGTGAGCTCTGCCTACACTACCTGCGAAGTGGGTAACCCCATATAGATGGAAGAACAGGCACAGAGAGGTTAAGTGACTTGCCCAGAGACGTGCAGTGAGTCTATAGATGAGTAAGAAATAGAAACTGGATCTCCGGCTTCCCACACTCTTGCTCTGATAATTAGCCTAGTCTCTCCTTAAAAGAACGAGAAAGTGACAGCTAAAGAGGGCTATGATAGCAGAAATACAGTGTTATATTTAGGTTGGGCCGCCTTTTCAAAAGTGCTCCCGGATTTTGGGTGCCTTCACTGTTGAGTACCCATGGGAACACTTGAAAATTTAGACCTACATATTAAAAACCATACGGTTAAACCCACAAGACCATCCAGCAGCAGTTGCTGAGACCAGTTTTCAACCTGATGTTGAAGGGGCTGATTCTGCGGACATTTCTAGGTCAAAGGGGGGAGGGCCTTCCACAGCCCTGGGGCCACAGAGGCAACAAGACAGACGTTTTCCCTCCTGTCCCCCCTGCACATGCCATGCTCTAGGGGCCCCATCCCTTGGAGCTCCCAGGATGCAATGGTGTATAACATAGAGCCAGAGCCTCAGAAAGTTAACTGTCCAGTAAGGGCAGTAAAGCTCAAATCTGTAACCTAATTCATGCCCAGCAAGCAGCCAGTAAAACACACATCCGAGACCCAGCACCAGAGAAGGGCAGAGGGAGATTACTAGTGGTGCCACCTGAATGACAGTTCTCCCTCCTTTCTCCCGGGCAGGGTCAGCAGACAACAAGATTGAGGCAGCTATGTCTGAGCTGGTGCCGGAGCCCCGGCAAAAACCAGCAGTGCCAATGAAACCTGTTGGCATTAACTCCAACCTGCTGGGCTACATTGGGATCGACACCATCATTGAGCAGATGCGCAAGAAGACCATGAAGACAGGCTTTGACTTCAACATCATGGTTGTAGGTAGGAGGGGTCATCAAGGCCTACGGAGCCTTTGGAGGGCATAGAGAGAAGCTTTGTCGGGCTTTGACTTCACTCTCACAGGCACAAGTACAAGAGGTTATAAGGGTACAGGGGATCATTGGGAGTATGGGTGAAGGACAGATGCTTTAATATCAGGCCATGCCTAGTTCCAGTAGATCCCTAGTCCCTGTCCTTGTGATTTTCCCTTAAGGTACATATGAAGGGCAAGAAGATCCCGTACACCCAACCTGGCAACTTCCCTGGGTTTAAGTTCTTCAGCCTATTGTCAAGGCACAGCTGTGGTGAATGCTACATTCTTCCCCTTTACGTTTATCAGGTCAAAGCGGGCTGGGGAAATCAACACTGGTGAACACCCTCTTCAAATCCCAAGTTAGCCGCAAGTCTTCAGGCTGGAACCGTGAGGAGAAGATCCCTAAGACAGTGGAGATCAAGGCCATTGGGCATGGTAAGAACCAGGAAAAGTATCCCAAGGACCACCAGTACTGGCTGAAAGAGCATAGGGGGTGCTGGTGTCTTAGAACAGTCCTGTCAAGGACTTTTACTAGGGCTGGCTGGAAAACCAGAATTCGAGATTTAGTTTCACATTGAGATGAAACCGAGACCTTTCCAAATTTTTGAGAGCAGGAGAGAGAGACCCTGACCCACTCCAGACTAGCCAGTAGCCTGGTGGTTAGGGCACTCATCTGGGAAGTGGGAGACCTAGGTTCAAAGTTCCTGCTCTGAGTGAGGCACGAACTGTCTCTCCCTTGCTTCTGTGGTGGTGGAAAGGGCAGAACATCGTCATTCCCACATGTGTCATAGAAGCCTACACAAAGAAGCCAATCTCGAGGGAGATCATAAGGTCTTTTCTGCTTTCTTCCCCAGTCATTGAAGAAGGTGGTGTCAAGATGAAACTGACGGTAATTGACACCCCAGGGTTTGGTGACCAGATCAACAATGAGAATTGGTGAGTGTCTGACCTCCCCATCTATCTTCCCCCTCTCTCTGTTTGCCTCTTGGGTGGCTGACCTACTCATGCAGAAGAGTCAGCACCCAGCTCTAAGATGGACCCCACCCCTGGAACACAGTAAACAGGTCAGTATGAGCTCAGCTCCAGGCTGAGTCAGCGCAACAGGATGGGATGTTGGTGTTCCTTCTGATTCAGTTCTGAACCAGTCCCCAGCATGGGACTGGGGGTACTCTGTGGCTCCAGCTGTTGTCTTGCATACAAGATGTATTCGTTACAGATCCCATAGTAAATCTGAGAAGAATAAAGGTGTTAGAGTAGCATCCTGCCAAACTCCAATCTGGATAATGGTATTCGGGGGTTCCAAAGGGATGTGATGTTATTCTTCTCTTCCTCGCTTAAGGCCTGATCCAAAGCCCATTGACGTCAATGGAAATATTCCTATTGCCTTCAATGGGCTTTGGATCAGGCCCATATACTGCTGTGAAGTGTTGCTGTGAATTGTTAAACTACCAACATGTTCCACTCCAGAGGTGGCTGCACTTCAGTGGCAGGTGACATGATTCTTATATACACAGCTTATAAAGTGTTTGGGATCCTACTAGATGAAAGAAGCTCAGGAAATGTTCAATCCTTATCATTATTATTTCATTTATTTTACTTAGGCATACACATGCTATAAAAGAGTGCCTATCGCTATGCTCTAAGACCCTAGGCATAACTTAAAAACTCAACAAAATTCACACACCCCAAGTGTAATTTTGGTGCAGCAGTGCAGTCAGTATAATCCACTACCAGCAAACCAGGCAACGCATCCTTCTCCGGTCCCCCTCCCAGTCCAGCAGTTCCCCCCGCCCCGCTTGCAATCTTCTGCTCCCCCCTCCCCCCCCCGCAAAATAATTCAGCAGATTCTATTTTGGATCAGAGTAAGGCAAATTCCAAAGTCACGGGGGGCCCTCACAGAGAACGCCCAGCCAGCAGCCCCTTCCACGTATGCCACTGGGGCTTCAGCTTGAGCACCTCTGCTGATCAATAACCCTGGCAGGAGCTGATCAGGCTAATGGATGATACCCTCCCACCCTGTAAACCCTCTTAGTTCCTGTAAGTGCCAGAGGCACTGTATGTATGAAGCATGAGGAAGGAATGTGCCTCTCTCTCTCTCTCTCTCTCTCTCTCTCTCTGACCTTCACAGCTGGGAGCCCATTGAGAAATACATCAATGAGCAATATGAAAAATTCCTGAAAGAGGAAGTGAATATTGCAAGGAAAAAACGAATCCCAGACACGAGAGTCCACTGCTGCCTCTACTTCATCTCCCCCACGGGTCACTCGTACGTATCCCGCTGCTGACTGCTTCATCTCTCCCACTCATCACTTATATGTATCCCAGTGTTTCCCAAACTTGTTCCGCCACTTGTGTAGGGAAAGCCCCGGTGGGCCAGGCCGGTTTGTTTACCTGCTGAGTCCGCAGGTCTGGCCGATCGTGGCTCCCACTGGCTGCGATTCGCTGCTCCAGGCTAATGGGAGCTACAGGAAGCGACGCTGGCCGAGAGACATACCGGCCGCCGCTTCTAGCAGCTCCCAATGGCATGGAGCAGCGAACTGCGGCCACTGGGAGCCACAATCGGCCGGACCTGTGGACGCGGCAGGTAAACAAACCAGCCCGGCCCGCCAGGGGCTTTCCCTACACAAATGGCGGAACAAGTTTGGGAAACACTGATGTATCCTATCTCATCTCTATCTTACTGCACCTCTACTTTAGCTCCCCCTATGGACCAGTCATATGTATCTCACTACTCCCTCTACTTTATGTTCTCCACGAGTCTCTCCCGGTATCCTATCCCATGCATCACTCCTACATACATCCCACTCTGCCTCTTTCATCTCTCCCATGGGTCATGCATAGGAATCCCACTGCTGTTTAACTTTTCCCTACTGGGCTGGACACTGGGAAGGCTGTACAGAAAAGCATTAGAATGGGATAGACAGGCCAGCTCTCCCTATAGGTTTTTTTCTAGGCATTGTGTGAGGAGGAAGGAGGAGAAGAGATCTAATGGGAGCATCTCTTGGGGGATACGCAGGAGAGCTCTCCCTTCCCCCTCTCGTCTGGACTCTGGGAGGGAGAAGAGCGGAGCCAGCATTAAGGGTGATGTGGTAAAATGACTCTCACTTATTCCTTTTTATCGGGCTGCAGCTTGCGACCCCTGGACCTAGAGTTCATGAAACATCTCAGCAAAGTAGTAAACATCATCCCTGTTATCGCCAAGGCAGACACCATGACCCTGGAAGAGAAGACTGAGTTCAAACAAAGGGTGAGTACCACCACGCCTGTGTGGAACGAGTCTTTCCCAGCCTCACCTGTCCTGGCAGGAAGGTGAGAAAGGTGGTTGTATCCTTCAGACTGGGATTATATTGTCTTGACCACTCAGACATCCTGGTGTTTCCCTTCATGGTTCAGAACAGCACTCAGCTGCTGCCACGGGATACAATATTGGATTCTTCTCCACTGACAGAGTCCAGCTATCGTGCAACCTTAAAACTGGACCTGGTTCTGTGTCAATGTGGGGCGTGTGCGATGATCTGGGTGTGCTCATATGGCAGAAGATTGCCTAAATCGTTCAGACTAATATGGGGAAGGCCACCTTTCCAGCTGGTAGGATATCACAGCAATTCAGCTCTTTCCCAAGTTGCCGTACATTCCTGACAATATGGCCTTATCCAAGAACACGCTTGTCCTTTAAATGAACCTTCGCAAAACATGTGCCCACAGCGGGTCAGAGCTGACATTAGCATGTATCTGTGCTAGTCTGAACTCAGACTAATTGATAGGAGAATGTACCTTCCTAGCCCAAATGAGCCTAAGGAAATGATCAACTAAGACCACAAAGAATAATGCTGAATGGTCTGCTAGGGGCACCACAATGGAGAATTAAAAATGGATGGATCTTCTGGTGAACTGAAATCTACTAGAGATCACCCTGGGCAAAAACTAACTGATGGATGCATCTATTGTGGAAGAGCAGCTGTTTCTATGCTGAAGTCTCTCAAAGGGCATTTGTCACAGTGATGGCAAGGGTTTCACACCTGTGCTGTGACCTGCCAAGATGTCTTTCTGCTGATCCCTGTTCTGTGACTGGGGTATTAATCCTTCATAACCCTGACCAATGGGGCCAGTGAATAAAGTCCAATCTCTTGCCAGCACTGCTGTGTGTCACAACTGTATCACACACTCCTTCAGGAGTATTCCCTGCAGGCCCCTTCCCCTTGAGCATGTTGCAGTAGGAATGTAATACCCCTGCACTCAGTTGTCTGCCATAATTCAGTGCTTGCACTGCTTTTTACTTTCCAATGTTTCCCTGCCCAGGTGCGCAAAGAACTGGAGGTGAATGGGATCGAGTTTTACCCCCAGAAAGAGTTTGATGAGGACCTGGAGGATAAAACAGAGAATGACAAAATCAGGGTAGGACACACCATATCATGAGAGAGTATTGAGGAGTGGTTAGATTTCACTGAATGCAGAATGGAGACAAATCACTCTAGTTTTCAAAGTGCTTTGAGATCCTTGGATGAAAGATGCTATAATGCAAAGTATTATTATTACCGTTTATATCCAGTAGGGAGGATGGGTTCTTTTATCCTTTCTAATTTAATTTGCATTGTCTCCGTTCATTAGCACCATAGAGCGCTGTGATTGCTGAATTTAAGAGGACTGTTTGTTTCACTTCATCTTGCTGGTCACTGGGTTTGGGCTGGGTTTGGGCTGGGTTTAACTTCCCATGTGACCTGTTGCTATTTAAGCCCAGCTTGTTCTCAGCTTGACCCCTCAAACTCTTATTTTTGGGAATCTCCCAAGTAAAAATTTGATCATATTTCCCCTTCACGTCAATCATCATTGCAGCCATCTCCTGTAGAAATGCTGGGGATATCTGCAGACCAATCTCTAGGAAGCTGGGGACATCTGTAGAAGACATGTAGGGCTTTTCCTTTTGGGGGTTTATGAATTTAATTTGCAGGGGGGTTATTTTTAGCAATTTTTGAGTTTTGTGTAGATGTCAAAAATCTGTGGTTTTGGGGATTTCTCTATGTATATACTTAGGCTTCGCAGAATTCGATTTTTTATTTTTTCATAATTTTGATGGATAATATCAAAGTTATTTTTAAGCAGTTTTTTCAATTAAAATTTTCACAGTGGGTGAAATTGGGGTGCTGGTCAGATGATAGGGAAGATAGGACAATAATTATTTAATGACAGTAGATGTTGAGATTCAAAAAGTTAAAGCTTTATAACCGTTCAAACACAAATTGTCAATATCACATGTCAAAATATAAAGAGTAAATATCCTTAAATCAAACCCTAGTAAGTTCTCAAGCAGCATTTTTCTTACTTTGTCTATCTGTAAATTTCAATTATCATCAGTGGAAATATTTTTCATCAGTTTGTGTGTCCCTTAAATTGATGTTTACCTACTTTTACCAATAAAAATCTAATTCTTCCATGCCTATATATATTATACACATTACAGTAGTATATACACTAAAGAATCATAGAATATCAGGGTTGGAAGGGACTTCAGGAGATCATCTAGTCCAACCCCTGCTCAAAGCAGGACCAATCCCCAGACAGATTTTTGCCCTAGATCCCTAAATGGCCCTCTCAAGGATTGAGCTCACAATGCTGGGTTTAGCAGGCCAATGCTCAAACCACTGAGCTATCCCTCCCCCCAGGAGGAGGGATGAATAAAAGGCCAATCTCTTTGTAATGTTCCCTAGTGCACTTTAAAGTAAAGCTGTTTGCAGGGCCGGCTCCAGGGTTTTGGCCGCCCCAAGCAGCCAAAACCAAAAAAAAAAAAAAAAAAAAGACCGCGATCGCGATACTAAAAAAGACCATGATCGCGATCTGCTGCGGCAATTCGGCGGGAGGTCCTTCAC